CTTTATTCTCTTTATGTTGAGGAATTGTTTTTATGCTTCGAGATATTTTTTTGACATATCAATGGGCTTCTTGTCTTCATTTCCAGATTGATTAAGAGAAATTTCCCAGTCATAGGGATATTCCTTAAAATGAAATAGAAGTTTTCAGAAATTCATCGAGCTTATTAACGACATATTTTGTTCTAAAAAAATATTCCACTTTGGCTTCGGTTTCTTTCATTGCTTCAGCCATTAAGCCGTAAATGCGCTCATAATTTGGTTTCTCAAAAAATTTGGTTTTGTCGCAAATTGTTAATATATCGACACATTGTCCTGGGCATACACCAAATAATTTATGCCCTCATTTTTTCGGCAATCATTTTCCAGTTATCTTAGATCCCTAAAATATATAATTTCTATTTTATGCTTTTTATTTTTAATTAGTTATTTTAATTTAATTAAGAAAAACGGCTTTCTGGTATCAGTAAATAGGAGAAAAGAGCGATTATGGATGATAAAGCGAAATATTTTTAAGAAATAATGGAATTCTTTCGGACTGACTTTCATGTTCCTCCATGGCAATTTTCCGATGATGAGTTCAATGACCATATACAGCCAGGATTCAACGTCTTTCCCGTATAACTCTTATAAAATATGAGTTGATAAAGAGGGATAATTAATGGTTCCTCTACAAAATCGCTCTATTTTTTCTTCGGCAAATTTTATTATTTGTGTGGAGAAATTTTTGTCTTGGTCAATCGCATAAACTTAACAATTTTGAAATGTCCTTGAACTCTTCAAATATATTTATTTACTTTAAAAATTTCTTTTTTTTTTTAGGTTATTTGCTTTGTTATGGACAATTTTGATGGGAATTCTCGAAATTTTTCAATGAAAAATCTGTAAAAATATAAGCAGTTTGAAAATTTTATATGAATTTCTCCATTCGAATATTTCCTCATACTACTATTTAATTATGATTGAGAGTAAAAGCAGGAGAATAACGAATCGAAAACCAATAAAAGCTCTTGGATTTCTTATTGTCCCATCGGGATGAATGTATTGTCTTGCCATTCCAAAATCAAGCATATAAACATTTAATTTTCGCCTTCTTTACTGCGATATCATCGGCAAAATTAAAGAATAGTTTATAGTGGATAATAAGATGACAATAATATTGTAAAAAAATGTAGAATGAAGTTAGATTGATTTGATTGATCAATGGTGGTTGTGGACTTATGCTAGCTTTGACATGATTGCCACAGTGGTTCACCCTTGAGACAGTAGAATTCTTTAAATCCCTGTTGTGAACTCCAGTCAAATCTCGAATCTGGGTAATTAAACCATAAAATATTTAAACAAAACAACTGTATTGATAAATTAATTAAATTAATTATAAATTAAATTATAATAATTATATTAAAAAAATGAAATAAAAAATAAAAAAATAAAAAGAATCAAATTACAAAACATAAAAGTTGATATGATAATTGGTTAAGGCTCACAAAGAAGAGGTAATAATTCTACATTGAGATTTACACAAAAATTTAAATATTTAGAATCCACCTTTTAGGTTCCAAAAAGAATTTATAGAAAAATGAATGCTTTGCAAAATCAATTTACGAAAATTTTTAGACAAGAAATATTTTAAAAAGGAATTTTGTATGTTCTGTGGAGGGGGAAACATGGAAACAGCGAGAAAAAGTAATCCAAGCAACTTCAAAATTTTTCGACAACGATTGGTTAGTGCAAAAGTTGGCGTCAGTTGCGATAAAGAATTACCTTTCAACGCTCATTGGTTTCGCTTCTTCCGAAATTAGATGGCTTAACATTTTTATGCACGCTTTCCGCCTTCAACTGATATTTTAAAGTTCAACGGCAAATAACTTGGTTCCATCGAAACACGGAACCAAGCGCTCCTTCGCCTAATTTTTGCTCGATCTTCCAGCTTCTAATTGTACTTCCAATTTCAAGTTCGACTGGTTCGTTCATAAATATAAGAAAATCAATTTTTTAAACTGAGCCTTTCGGAATTTGCTTGTCCAATGGTTCGTGGTTTCGCAATAAAAATTGAAAATTTACGGAAGGATCGATTACAAATTATTTAGCAAATCATCCATTTGCTTCAAAGCAAATTGGAAATTTTCCCTTTTTCTGACTTTCATGCCGTAATGGTGTTTACCAATTTCTAACTTGATTACATAGCTGCTGGCTACATAGACTAGTTGAGTAGTACCAGAGAGCCACTTGGAGGACTGGGAAGAGAGATGATGAGATGGTGTATAGAGTACCATTGAAAATTCACTCGAAAAGATTACCGTTTAGGAAAGAGCTCCTCATGTTTGAGTTCGCACGACACGACCGTGGTGCACCATTTTAATTATCTCATTTTTAATGAACATGAGGTAGCGAAATTTCCACTGAACTGATGGAGTCATAAAAATGTTGCTTCTAATAATTGGAAATCTCCTATTCTAGATTCTTATCGAAAACCAGTATTCCTTGAAATATGTATATGGAATCTTCACGTTTTGTAGACCTGTTTTTTTTAACCAAAGTCTAATTTACTTGTATATTTTAAAACTTAGTAAATTTTCCATATACTGCGTTGCCGAAATGAATTCGTGTCCTCAGTGATATTTAAAATATTTCATGTTTAAATTTGAAACGCCCGGGAAGCGCCTTCTTCATTTGAGACTGAGAGGTGGCAATCTTTAAAGCAATTTGAAACAAATTTAATGGTATGAACTATCTTTTATAAATTATGGCAACTGACAAAAAGTTTTTTAAAATGAATCTACCCTCAGTGATAAAAATTTTAAATGAACCTACCCCCTTTGACGTCTAAAATATTTATAAAACAGTAAGGGAGATTTGAAATACGTTTTAGTGATTTTGAAAAAGATGCATGGCATACATGGCATTGGATTTATTGGAGTTATTGGCTAAATCTGTGATAACCTTTCGTTGCTTAAAACTTTTTAAAAAAAGTTAACAGCGAAAAAATAATTAAACTCGTCGGTCGCATAGCCATGGGTCTATTTGCCTTAGTGTAAAAATTCGACGCATCTAAAATCGCTTTTCAGGTTGATTCTTCAATCAAGAATATTGTGTCGACTAACTAGTGAGAGAAATCAGTGGTGAATTTTCAATTCGTTGTGGGTTCATTTCTCACACTTTATTTTTTACATTCAATTTTATTTCTGAAAATTGAATTTACAATGTTCTTAGAAATATTATTTTTCAGTTGGATGTTATTTCGTGGTGCATAAATAAAATGCTGAACAGCATTCAAAAAATTCCTCATCGCTTTTCATTGATAACTTTAAATCAATTTTCGAATGGGGAAATTCGCCTTTGTCTTATATATGTCTTCGAATAAGCGTAATAAAGCAATGAAATATGCCCATTTGAAAATTAGTTACCGCATTTTCGGTTAGACACTCCGATTTCGAGTATATTTAGAAATTTTGGCCAGAGAGTCACTTAGCCATAAAAGCACAAATGAGAACGAACTTACATTGTCCGGATTTTTTGATAACAAATTTGTTCCTATCCGAGACGCGAATCAGACTTCCCAGCGTGAATGAACCAGCCCCTTGTATCCTAAAATTGAAGCGACGAATCCCCTTATAAGGAAAGTGGTCATTTTTTTCAAATTTCGAAATATAGCGCATTTATAAGCATTTTCCTCGGAAATCTCTTTATCCCACCTCCACCGCCTCCCCCTCAACCTGCAAGAATCAAATTGTCGCATCCGCTTGCCGCGGGGTTATTCCGATCTCCGAACCACCTCCTAGTGGATTTTTTTTTCAAACTAACTAACTAAATTTTTTTTCAAACTAACTAAAGGGCAAAAGAAAGAGCTCAATGAATTTTTAAAGTGAAATTGGTTTTATAAAAAGGTGAAAAAAACTATAAAATTCATTAATAAAACAAAAAATACATAAAAAAATTTGTCGATAACGAACCGTCACAGCCCTTTATCCGATGTTACTTTTATCAGTCAACAAAAATGATGACGACTGTCGATTACTGTTCTACGTTACCTTTAGCTTTTAATCATAACGAAATTATACAATAAATTCATAACAAAATAATAATGCGATACAAATTTTTAAGAAAAAAGAATAGAACAGATTAAATATATCGACAAACACAAAATTACCAAAAAATGCTAAAACGGAAATGCAATTTTTCGAAAAAACTTTCGATCGCTTAAGAGCATTCAGCAGCATGCCACATTAATTTTGATATCCTTACACTGGCAGCCCCACAACTATATAGAATTTCAGAACAACGAATCAAAAAACGAACTTATAAAAATTTATAAAAATAGAACCGAACACACTTCTTTACAATGCAACTTTTTCATTCATTAGAACGCGTATAGATATACACATACAATGAATAATCGGGAAATCGACCATACATCTTTGAACTAATAATGCAGAAAAAAACCTAAAAAGCTGCGAAGCACCTTTCTAAGTCGAAACTCTCCTACCTATAAATCGAGCAATGCTATCCACCAAGAATACATTTTTCTTCCATCCCAGTTTTAACCTTTTTCCTTCTTTATTTTCTTGTTTTTATTCTTCACATATATGCTAATCAAACTAAATCATACTAAATACACTTTCAAGCAAATAACATAACGCAAGTGGACTTCAAGTCTGGTATCAAGTAGATTTGATACCAGACATAGCAATCGCAAATTTATAGAAATAGTATGTTTGTATTTATTTAATATATTAAATAGTATATTTCTCCGCTGGGTTTTCAGTAAATCACGTTTGCATACATTTAAGTATGTCCTTGAAGAAAAATGACGGGTCCATGCTTTTATCCGATCCTCAAAAGATGCAGTAAAATAGTACCACATACACATAATAAATACTGAAGCAACTTTTTGCTTATATATTTTTGCATATACACCAAAACGAATGAAAAGTTGAAAAAATTGAATGAAAATAAATTGCTAAAAATTTTTTGGCGAACTTAATCTACTTTTCTTTTTTAAATCATACAGTAAATGTTGAGAAGCCATGAGCGAAGAGCTGCATTATTAGATTAAGCGACATACCCTAAACTAATATATAAATTAGTAAAAAATAATTACAGAAATTTATAAATTCGTCGTTTTAATTGTTAAACGATTCCCAAAATTTGTAATATCATTTTCACTTAGAGATCGTGGAATTACCAGGTTATTTTCGTTAAGAGGTGCATTAAAATTAATGCCTTTATTTGAGTTCGCAATAGGACTTTGTTTTTCTGCAGTTGAGTTCAGAAGAGTAAAATTGGCAGCACGCAATTCACTGGATGTTTCTGATGTAGTCTGAGTTGATTCATCACGAGGAATATCTAATGATGAACATTCGTTAACCCGAAAATTTTTCACTTCATCTATGCCATCATCGTTGAAAGAATTACAATGGAACACATTCTGTGCAGGCACTGTTGAACTGTTCGAACATAAAGTTTCTCTTGCAATAACTCCTGAATGTTCATTTGAGGTGATTGGTGGCGTGCAAAACAGTGGACCCGTCATAAAATGTCTATCTAGTGACTGTGGTTTACACTCTTTCAATTGCTGAAATTTTAAATATAAACAAAAATTTCAGTGTTTTGAAATCAAAACAAAAGCAATCAACTAAATTGAAGATTAGATATTAGATATGATAAAGATTAAATTGCAGTTTATATATTAAAAAACTACAACAAATTCACACCTTTTCAAGTAAAGATATTTTTGCCACATAAGTTTTTTGTTCATTTTTTAGCTTATCAACAAGTTGAGTAAGCCGTTGAACATCTTCTACAAATTTCGTTTCAACATGCTGACGAACAATGCGTTCAGACATAAGTTTATTTTTATAAGAATTTTTTCGTTCCTCTTCCCTTTGTAAACGATACATCAATTTATTAATTGTTGATTCCAGCTTCTTAAATTAAAATTTTTTTTAGCCCAAACTGTAAAAATAATAAAAATAAACAAAATATTAGAAAAAAAAAGTGAAGAAATACTTGGATATTTGGATAATTCCATCCTATCTCCATAAATCAAAATGATGAAAAAAAATTTTGAAAATTTACTTGAATCGTTCTATCATTGTTTAGCAAACTTCTTCCTCGCGAATCGAAAGAATCGTCTGAATCAAGCTCAGGATCATAATTTCTGCCTTTAAAACTTGTGTTTATATCCCAATCAAATTTCGAATCATGATAAGATCTTTTCCCATATTTTGGGCCATTCTAATAAAATAAAGGTATTAGATATTTTACGATGTGAAATAAAAAAACATAAGAAAAATTGGATTAATCTAGCTTAATAATCGAAGGAACTAGCCAAACCAGAAATGAAAAAAATGATTCCATTTGCAATTTACATAGAAATTAAAAAAAATTAAAAAACTTGATTTTCTGAATAAAGCAAGAGAGCTGGAAAAAAATATAAAGCAGCTAAAAGCAGCTAAAAAATATACAGGTAAAAGTATAGTACCCGATCCTTAACAGAACCATCAAAACAATGTCGATATTTGTCATATTCTTCTCTTCCAACGCAAGATCTCGTACCCCTGATATATTTTGGCTGAGAAGAAGCGTGATAAGGCGCTGTTGGCTTCATGAAAAGATCGTCTTGACTGGGTAACTGAGACATTCGTTTTTCGCGACGTTCATTCTCACTTAAGCCATTATTTCGACGAAAAGATTTACGCTAAAATAAAAAATTACACAAAAGAACTAACAAAATTGAAAAATTTCCCTTTTAATTCTCAACATATTTGCAAACCTTTTTCATAAAAAAAAGAATAAGCAAAACATAAAAATAAAGTAAGAAATTGTAAATTGTATAATTAAATAATCAGAAAACAAAACAAAACAATAATCAGAAAATATATTAATATTTTTTTTCGAAATTAAAAAAAGCAAGTTCTCCGTATTAATAATTAACGAATTGAATTGATTCTTTATAATAAATTTCCTTAAATTTTTTGAATTATTTTTTTTAAATCTTAAATTTTAAACAAAATTAATTAAAGAAAAATAAAAATATATATTAAGAAATAATTTTAAAAATAAACCTCATCTGAAGCTATTTCATTTTCTTTACCCGTTTTCTTCGAGCGGAAAATTTTTAGAAAACCTGACATTTACCAATCAATCAGTTCTCTCTACAATTTATTTAGTTTAATAAAAAACCTTAAAATTACGCAAATCATAGATTGAAATCAACCATATAAATAATTTTTTAGATCAGAATTTTCACGCCGGTAGTGAGGTTCAACTCCCTGCAGGAGCAGAACTTTTCCAAAAGTCTGGGTGATACTGGCGACTAACCTGAATTTTATCGCCAAGGGATTTCTTGGCATATTAGTTTAGTGCGACAAGCCAGCTGAGCAAGTTCAACCAGTAATAGTGAAGACCCTTTAAAAAAAGGGATCAGAGCCGGTTCTTTCGAATCTGCCGCCTCGATACAATATTTTATTAGTATCATAGTGTCATACGGAGTATATATATAAAAATAATATATAATAATATACAAAACTGGAAGTTATAATAAAAAGAGTTGCCGGAGGCTAGTACCTCGATAGAATGCGTCCGGCCTGATCAATCTGTTTTACCATAATAAAGAAAAAACTAGTAACAAAAACTAAAAATAAGAATTTTCTTCGATTTGTTTGTGACTAAATTATCTGGTGATGAAACAGCACGATAAGAAACATTGAATAAATAAGAATAGAGAAATAGAGTTGGATCACCGTCATCATCCAAAAATATGCTGTGCTCATTTATCAATAAAAATTAATAGAAAATATTTAAATCACTTATATTATATTATATTATATTATATTATATTATATTATATTATATTATATTATATTATA